CGGGTAGAGTCCGAACCAGCTGGTTCTGACTAGAGCAACTTCTGATTATTCAGACGCCTCACATGGTTCAAACTTGTTGTTGACTCGCCGCTCCACAGTACTTGACCTTTACAGCCGATCATCCCACTGGCAATCGTATGCGCTACCTAGCATTTAATCGATTAATGTTTCAGTTATTATTATTCTCTACTTAAGAAGTGTTTCAACAAATATGGGCTCCAGCGATTCACTGTCCGCACTCTACACGCTGATCCCGAGTTTGAGCCACTACGTGACAAATTCGCTAAAGCTGAAAACGGTTCTGTGGACGTACATATATGTGCTCCAGGAGCACATGTTCCCAAAGCCGAGCGGAACATTTGCACTGTTAAGGAGCGTGATCGCCCCACAGTTGCAAGTCTCCCGTTCCAATATTATCCACGTGCGCTAAAAATAGCTATAGTTAAAGAATCTGCCAGGTATCTAAACATTCTCCCTAACGCTGATGGCGTGTCGGAGGTTTTTAGTCCATTTGCTCTACTTGAGGGCCAGCACACGAACTATGAGAAGCACTGTAAGCTTCGCGTCGGGACATACTGCGAAGTCCATGACGAGCCTGATCCAACCAACACAGAGACCGTCCGTACGACCTCCGGGATTGCTCTCACCCCAACCCCGAATTTCGATGGTACCTGGGAGTTCCTCTCCCTCCAAACCGGTCGCACCGTCGTCCGTCGTGCATGGACTGTCCTTCCGACGACCAGGTTGACGTCGCATTGCTCCCTCCCCCTGGAGGAGCGGTCCCCCAAAACGACGACCAAGATGATTCGTCTGATGGGGACGACCAAGACGACTCGTTCGCCTCTTCCGACGACGGCCAAGCCGACTCGTCCGAAGACAGCAATGCTGCTGATGACAGTGAAGACGATGAAGACAGTGAGGATGATGATGAAGCTGAAAGTGGCGATGATGACGACAAAGATGATGATGACGCAGAGGAGCAGAACGAAAATGAGACTGCGCTTTTAGTGACGGATCTGGAGGACGCAGCGGCACACAACCCAAACGAGTCAACACAGCTACTGCAGGCCCCATTGACATCGTTGCGCAACGATAAGGATACCGACAAAAACAACACCAAAGCTACCGTCACAGCGCGCATGCAACGTGCAATCAACCGCGCCGCGGCCATAGAGCGCATGAACAATCGTTTTAATCAAACGGGGCGGTACGTAGAAGCCCTCGAGGAGTTCCCCCTACCCCCTGAAGAAATAGGAGCGCAAGACCCTGAAGAAGCAGGAGCAACTGAAGTTGAACCAAGTGCAGAAACAGGAGCGCAACTAGAAGTTGAGCCAAGCAAAGAAACAGGAGCGCGACACCTGGAAGAAGAGGTAACCTTCGATCCTCCAGAACAGCAACCCCTGTTCCATGATGACATGGAGGAACAAATAGAAAATGACAGTCTTGACAATAGCGATTCATCATCTATAGTATATGAGCGCGGTGACGTGGCATTAGCACACATGGCCAAAGAACGACAGTTGTTGTGCAGTGTCCCTCGACGAATCGGACGCTTTGCGCTAGCAAAATTCCTAGAGAATGCGTATCGCGACGACAGGAAGTACTGGTGGCGTTACGTGCCGGAGAAACTACAAAACACCGCAGACGTGCATCGTTGTATGCACCTATTGTTAGGCAACCAGACATTTAACGTGCTCCTAAATCAAATGACTGCAAAATCAGGAATAAAGAAGCATGGTGAGCTGGCAATTGCTGCGCTAGTCAAAGAGCTTTCGCACAATCTTCATATAAAGGACGTCATTGAAGGAAAAATGTTTAACGAGCTGACACAAGAACAGAGAGCGAAGGCCCTACGAGCAATAGCCCTAACTAAAGAAAAACGTGACGGTCAACTAAAGGGTAGAGTAGTTGCAGACGGTCGCCCCCAGAGGGAATGGACGGATCCTGACTCCGTGTATTCTCCAACTGTCTCCTGTGAAGGAATGATACTGTCGCTTGGCATCGATGCACATGAGAAACGTTTTGTGAGCGTTTGCGACATCGACGGTGCGTACTTACACGCATTCATGGACAAGTTTGTACTTATGGTTTTCGAAGGGGACCTAGCAGACATGCTTGTGAGGGCATGTCCAATGTACGCGAAATATCTCCATGTGACCAAAACCGGCAAGAAACTCCTATACGTACGCTTGAAACGTGCACTGTACGGGTGCATTAAATCTGCCATGTTATGGTGGCTCATGTTGTCGGAGTTTCTCATTGAAGATGGATTCGAACTGAACCCGTACGATTCGTGTGTGGCGAACAAGACGCTCTCCTGCGGAACCCAAATCGCTATTTGCTGGTACGTGGACGACTTAAAGATTTTGTCGAAGAATGAACAAGCGGTGCACGACATAATTAAAAAACTAGAAGATCGTTTCGGAGCAATGCGTAAGAGTTTTGGAAAGAAACACACTTATTTAGGAATGGAAGTGGAATTCTGCGATGATGGTTCCGTGCGACTCAGTGTCCCGGACCACATCAAAGAATGCATCAAAGATTTCGGCGAAGACTTAGGGCGCTCCGCGGCAAACCCCGCAAGCAAGAAGGTATTTCACGTGGACCCCGATGCAGAAAGGCTGCCTGAGCCCAAACGGAAGCTTTTGCATTCCCTCGTACAGAAACTACTTTGGGTCACAAAGCGATGCAGACCAGATATCATGGTCCCAATAGCATTTCTGACAGGACGGGTACAAAAGGCCTCTGTAGAAGATTGGGGGAAACTCCGAAGGGTTCTCTCGTATTTGGACAGTACAATAGACATGCCTCTAACAATCAAGATCGATGATTTAACGATAGTGAAGACATGGGTCGACGTGGCCTTCGCGGTACACGAAGATTTCAAGTCCCACACGGGAAACATGATTTCCATGGGCAAAGGCGCCTTATATGCACGTTCCATGAAACAGAAGCTTAATACAACGAGTACAACGGAGTCGGAAACTGTTGGCGCCAGTGACTGTCTCGGACAAACTATCTGGACTATGAACTTCCTGGAACACCAGGGCATACGTACGCGCAGGAGGTATTATTATCAAGATGATGAAAGCGCGATGCGTTTGGAAAAGAATGGTAGACAGTCCGCGAGTAAAAGGTCACGACACATAGATATCAGATTCTTCTTTATTAAGGATCGCATTAAAAGAGGCGACATCCACCTGCTCTATTGTCCCACAGAAGACATGCTGGCAGATTTTTTTTCCAAGCCACAACAAGGCAGCTTGTACAAGCGCTTCCGCGACATGGTAATGGGCATCACTCCAGTACCGCCCGTGGAAGATCCCTCCTTTACTTGCCCGACATCTCAGGAGCGAGTTGGAAGTAGTATTTTTGGAGCTGGCGGACGACGTACGGACGGCGAGATTATGACCAAAATGGCCAGACCAACGGTGACATGGGCAGATCGCGTTCGCGGCTTCGCTGGTGGGATTGCCAGACCAGAGTCGCTCGGTCCCGCGCATAAAAATAAAAAAACTAGTAAATAGGTAAATAGAAGTAGCCACTGGATTGCATGAGCTGCAATGCTCATTCAATCCAGGTAACAACAATTAGAT